CTGTGTAATCTTGGACAAGTAACTTAATATTTATTTTCCCATCTATAAAACTGGGTTAAAAATAGGGACCAACTCTTAAAATTCCTTATGTAGATTAAGTGAGATAAAGGATGGAAGGTGCATTTCACAGACTTTGGCACATAGATAGCCTTTTAATTCTACTCATCATCATCCTTGTTATTTTCACTCAACAAGATAGGTATTCAGATACTTAAAAACTTTAATCTCTAATTAAAACACTGCATTCTTAAACTTAAAATTATCTTCTCCATTTTTGGAATGGAAATATGATGCATTTCTCACAAGGGATCTTTACATTTTTAAATGATTTTCTAAGCAATAATTGATGTTTGCCAATTTCTTTGGAGGTGGACAGGATTAAGTACTATATAATCATTTCTGTTATTTCTATCAAGCATAAGGCATTTAAGGACCATAAATTGATCTATCCATATACTAACTGTAATGATTAGTTTCCTATTGCACTTCATGCTTTTTTTAAAGTTGTGACTCTCTTGGTTCATCTTATGGTATCTCTGGTCCAAATAAGCATTTAAGGGCATGACATAGGAATAAGTCAACCATAAGATTTGAGAGTAAAACTGAGGCCTCAAGAGGAAATAATACAAAAATGGAAAGAAATCATAGTGCTTCATCAGGGGTGTATATTATTAGGCAGAGACTTAGTAATTGTGCTGACTGGCTTACTAAATTGTTCAACAATCTGGAGGGATGGCGAGAAATGAATTAAGCTTGATTAATCAAGGCTAATTAATTAGACCTCTCAAATTTTACTTAATAGACATTGTAACAAAGCCATTGTTTAAAATTTAACACTACTCGTAATCTTACCGTGCTTTAAAAATAGTTCTAAAATTCATCCAATATCTGCTGAGTACTTATTACCAGGAGCAAAGCCTCATTCCCAATGCTATGGGGAAACTTACCTTCATGGAGCTTCTGGTCTGCTTGCAGGGGAAATGTGCAGTTCTACAGGGCAGAGTGACAGAAGTGCTCTGAAAAATGTAGATTCAAAGTGTTGGGAACTATGTGGAAGAACCACTAATTTCAGCTGGAAGGATCTAGGAAGGCTTTCAAGTAAAAAGTGACATTTAAACCAAGCCTCCTTGAAGGTAGAGTAGAATTTGAGGCAAAGGAGTGAGTGTTCAGTGGGTATTTTAGGGCAAGAAAACAATGTGAGTAAAGGTAAAAAGATGAGAAAGTATATGTATGTGTTGGAAGCAGCAAGCAGTGCATAGTGCCTGAAGCAAAGGGCTCCCGAACTGGTGCGGGAGAGTCAAGGATAGAAAAAGGCAGTTTGGAAACAAATCTCAAAAGGACTTTGAATCACGTTACAGAGTTGGGCTTCATTGAGTAACAGTGGGAAGCAGTGGACATTGTAGGGGAGGGGACAAACTTTATCTGACCCATGTTCTAGGTTTCTTTAGTAGAGAAGAAGTAGGGAAGTAAGAGATTCTAGGCAAGGAAACCAGTTTCAAGTTAGAGAATGCCAGGCATTGGTATATTAATTATTATTATATTAAGATTATTATAATATATTAACATGTTAATGATAAAGGTGCTTTATAGAATTTAATTTTTATAGCTACCCTGGAAAATAAGTAATACGATCTTTATTTTAGAGAGACTACATTGGAGGGTTAGAAAGATTAATTACTCAAGGTCATACAGGTTATAGGTCATAGAACCCAATGGAGTGGGGCTGGAATGGTGGTGATGGAAAAAAAATATTTGAATTCAGAGTGACTAATGTGGGAGGTGAAAAAGAGGGAGAGAAACTGAAGATGACTCCTACTTGGTTACCATTAATGAAGGTAGGAACAGAGTCAAACACGTTTGAGATTAGTAACTAAGGAATTCTTCAAGTTTGGATTTGAGATGTTGGCATGACAAGCCAGCTGTAAATGTGGAGCCGGTTATTGGGAATGGAAGTGTGGAGGTCAAGTAGGCTGGGAGAAATCAGAACATTAGCAAGAGGGGAAGCGTGGGAGAGGGCACAGAACAAGGAGAGGGTGAGACAGAGCAGTGTCCTGGGAATGGAGAGGGAGCTGAAGAAGGAAGAACCAGAAAGGTCTGAGGAAACCAGAACCTGGAAGGGTAGTAACCAACAGCCAGGGGTTGAGAGAACTTCAAAAATAATGAGTGGGGAATAGGCCATTAATTGTGTGCCAGAGAGGGAATAGTGTGGGGATTTTTGCTTTATTTGGTAAGGGGAAGTCCATGGGTAGTTTTTGAAAAACAAAAACAGAAAACAAAAACAATTTCGGTGAAGTGGAATGATCAGGAACTGAATGTCAGGGCCTGAGGAGTGAGTGGGTGGTTAAGAACTCTGACGGACTGCAGGGCATCGGGGAATTTTTTATTAGGATGAGGTGAGTCTTACACTAAGGGAATAGGGTAGTGGATAGTGATTTTTTTTTTAAGGAGTGGAGGATAATTTATTGACTACAGCTCCAAAGTGAAATAAGATGACCAGAAGACAGACAGGCTGGCAATGGTGAAGAACAAGAATTTTTTTTTTCTGAGACAGAAGAGAAATAGGAAAAAAATAATATACCAAGAAAAAGTGAGATCTAATGGACAAAAGTTTAGAAAATTATTTTCTGAAAATCTGTTTCTCAGGGAGGCCTTACTCACCTTCCATAATATGCTTTTTACTTTCCTTAAAGAGCCCTGTACTCTTCCTTCAAAATATTTGTCATACTTTTAATTACTTGTTCAGCCTCTTGTTTCACCACTAGATTTCAATCTACTCTTTTATGAAGTCAGCATGTCTGTCTTATTCGCAGCTGAGCCTACAGTACCTAGGGAGAACGGCATGCCCGGCACCTAGTAAATGCTCAGAAAAGATTTAATGGGTTTAATACATGGCCACGCCATAGATTTTCTGAGTCTCACTTTGCAGTGCTGAAAAATACCTGACCCACAATGAGCAGTCGATGAATACTTGCTAAATGAGTGATTCTTCTCAGTGAAATAGGAAGTGAGTTCATTTATTGAAGTGATAATAACTAAAGGATTGGGGCTGTGTCTGTGTGTAGGCTCCACATTAAGTACTTATACACCAGCTGCTGAAACAAAGAAACCAGAGTTTCAGTGGCTTACATGATCAGAGTTTCTTTCTTACTAACACTGCAAAATGTCTGCTCCTGATGGACAGGCAGCTCTCCTCTTTCCAGAGACTTGGGCTCCTTCCATCTTGCAGCTCCATCATCTGCTAGGCCTTTGCCTGCAGTTGGGGAAGAGGGACTGAATGAGGCTGTGGTGTCACAGAGATGCCAAGAGGTTAGGAGGCCACTTCCTAGGGACTGCTCTATGGTACGGAAATGGGAACATGAATTTCAGTGGACATTGAGCCATCTCTTCCATACATGAGTTATTTACCATTTGTGATGGCCCTACAAAGGAGGTACTGTCATTAACTCTCTTTTACAGACAAGACTATTGAGGCTTACACTTGTCAAAAAACAGTAAGGTTCTATTTTGAGATTTAAGCTCAGATCCATCTAACTCAGTACCTTCTATTCTTTTTTACTTTTTTTTACAAAGTGTCATTGATACACAATCTTATGATGGTTTTACATGAACAACACTGTGGTTTCAACATTCAGCCATATTATCAAGTATTCATCCCCCCATTGCAGTCACTGTCCAGCAGCATAGTGAGATGCTATAGAGTCATTATTTGTCTTCTCTGTGCTGTACTGCCTTCCCCATGACCTACCTATATTGTGAGTGCTAATTATAATGCCCCTTAATCCCCTTCTCTCTCCCTCCCCACCCACCCTTCCCAACCTTTTTCCTTTTGGTAACTGCTAGTCACTTGGAGTCTGTGGGTCTGCTGCTGTTTTGTTCCTTCAGTTTTGCTTTGTTGTTATACTCCACAAATGAGGGAAATCATTTGGTACTTGTCTTTCTTCGCCTGGCTTATTTCACTGAGCATAATACCCTCTAGCTCCATCCATGTTGTTGCAAATGGTAGGATTTGTTTTCTTCTTATGGCTGAATAATATTCCATTGTGTATATGTACCACATCTTTATCCATTCATCTACTGTTGGGCACTTAGGTTGCTTCCATATCTTGGCTATTGTAAATAGTGCGGCAATAAACATAAGGGTGCAATATGTTTTTTTGAATCAGGGATCTTATTTTCTTTGGGTAAATTCCTAGGAGTGGAATTCCTGGGTCAAATGGTGTTTCTATTTTTAGTTTTTTGAGGAATCTCCATACTGCTTTCCACAATGGTTGAACTAGCTTACATTTCCACCAGCAGTGTAGGAGGGTTCCCCTTTCTCTGCATCCTCGCCAGCATTTGTTGTTGTTTGTCTTTTGGATGGTGGTGATCCTTACTGGTGTGAGGTGATATCTCATTGTGGTTTTAATATACATTTCTCTGATGGTTAGTGATGTAGAGCACAATAGCTTCTATTCTTAACCACTAGACCTGTGTTTCTTAGATGGAGGCAATATTGTTCCCAAGTGACAAGGAATCATTTGGCAATATCTGTAGACAATTTTTTTTGGGTGGTGGGTGGAGCTAATGGAGAGCAGCCAAGGGTGCTGCTAAATATCCTAGAATGCATAGGACCCACCCCACCAACACACACACACACACACACACAAACAAAAATTATTAGGTCCAGAATGTCAAGAGTGCCAAGGTTGAGAAATTCTACACTAGACTGTGCATTACCCCTGATGGCAGAGGGTAAGGAAGAGGTAAGACATAATTGAAAAAGATTAGGAACAGCTGCTGTGAGGAATAAGCTAAGTATTAATTATGAAAAGATACAAAGGATTGATGAGTAGCAGATAGGTGCTAGTAGCAGTTGAATGTGGAGGAAAGTAAATGGTTCTATTATTTTTATATCAGGTATTGGTATTTCTGGGTCTTTATTGTACTTTTAAAGTAGTAAGTGGTCCATATTTTACTGAGTGAAAATATTGTTCTTTAAACCATTTTATTTCTGAACTCAGAATGACAAGACTCGTCCTTTTATTGTATCCAGTCCTACAAATGGGGCCGAATCCATTGCAGAAGGCTGGGTTGCTGCCAACCCATATGACACACATTTTGGTGATGTACACTTTTATGACTATATCAATGATTGTTGGAATTGGAAACTTTTCCCAAAAGCTCGATTTGCATCTGAATATGGATATCAGTCCTGGCCTTCCTTCAGTACATTAGAAAAGGTAAGCCATCTTTGATTTTCCAATGGTTCAGAATGGTAGACTATGAGGATTGTTACTTGCTTAACAGTGGTTCAGAAACTCAAATGAAATCTACTCTTATTTCAGTGAAAGTTTAGGAAGAAGATGAAGAAGAGAAACATTTTTTTCCCTTTAACTTTGGGGAGGTAAACTCTTGTACCTCCCCCAAAACATTTTGGGGATGATAACTTTTCTATATTGCTTTTAATTAAGTTCCTTCAGAAACAGTTAAGAATTAAATGGGAACCAATGGTTGCTCACCCTGACTGACTATCACACGTGAAGACAACTCTAGGCACCGCTGATCGGCTTTGAGTGTCTATATATTTGCCTGTTTGCTAATATCATATAATTGGGATTATAAATTATGTGATCTTTTGAGACTGACTTTCACTTAATGTGAAGTTTTCACAGTTCATCCATGTTTTATCATGTATGACTACGTCATTCTTTTTTATTGCCAACTAATATTCCATTGTATGGTGATGCCACATTGTGTTTATCCATTCATCAGTTGATATACATTTGTGTCATTCCCACTTAGGACCATTATGAATAATGCTGTGATGATCATTGGTCTACATATTTTGTGTGAACATGTATTTTTATTCTATGAAGTATATATCAGGGTAGAGTGTCTGTGTCATTTGGTAACTCTGTGTTTAACATTCTGAGGACTGGCAAACATTTCCACAGTAGCTACATGTTACATTCCCACCAGCAGTGTATGAGAGTTCCAATTTCTGTACATCTTTCTATTTTTGTTTTTCACATTTCTCTGGAAATTTATATTTACTGGAAATTTGCCTTTCTTTGATAGCTAATCACTTTGAGTATCCTTTCATGTGCTTGTTGGTCATTTGTATATCTTCCTTGGAGAAATGTCTATTCATATTCTTTGCCCATTTTTTAATTGGGTTATTTGTATTTTTATTATTGAGTTTTAAGAGTGTGTATATATATATGTACACACACATACACACACATATATATGTGTTTATGTTCTGGATATGTTTTTTATCAAATAAATGATTTATAAATACTTTCTCCCAATCTGTGGGTTGTCTTTTTACTTATTTATGGTGTAATTTAAAGCATGAAAGTTTTAAATTTTGATGAAATCACAAATATCAATCTTCTCTTTTATCTCTTGTGTGTTTGGTGTTTTATCAAACTTAAGATCACAAATGTTTATCCCTGTGTTGTCTTCTAGTTTTAGATCTTACATTTAGGTCTGTGATCTGTTTTGAGTTAACCATTCTATATGGTATGAGGTAGGTATCCAGGAGCATTCTTTTGTGTCCCAACACCATTTACTGAGAACATTAGTCTTGCCTCCATGGAATCTCTTGACCCGTTTGTCGAAAATCAATTGACTATAAATGATAAGGTTTATTTCAGGCTTCTCAATTCTGTTCCAGTGATCTGTGTGTCTGTTTCATGCCAACATACCCTGTCATGATTACTGTAGCTTAGTAGTAAGTTTTGAAAGTAGAAAGTGTGTATCTACCAACTTTTCTCTTCTTCTAAGATTGTTTTGACTGTTCTTAGTGCCTTGTATTTCCATCTTACCGATTTCTGTAAAAAAGCCAGCTGGATTTGGATAGGAATTATGTTCAATCTGTAGATTGGTTTGCAAAGTATTGCTATCTTAACAATATTAAATCTTCTGATACACAATATGTTATGTTTTCCTTAATTTATTTCAACACTATTTTGTTTTAGTGTACAGTCCAGTATTGTGGGGATGATCCTGTGGGAATACTGTTGTTTCAAAATGAAGGATAATGGAGTTCCCTTCCCTCACTCAGTTAGGAACAAGTGCTGAGGATGGAAAGAAGGAATGGAAGAAGCAAAAATGTTTACTGAGCAGATGCTCTGTATCAGGGACCCATTGTTTCATTTAACAGTAATCCATCCCCTCCTCTTTCACTGAGGCCTAGGAGAAAACTGAGGCCCTGAAGAGTGAGAGCTCTGTTAGTGGCCCCAGATAGTGAGTAGCATATCTGGATTCAGACTTACTGGCCTGACCCCAGAGCGGATCCAATTTCCTTTCACTGCCTTTCCAAATGGCATTAAAAATTGCTAAACCTTTTTCTTAAATCTATAAGCATTTCTATTCACCTCCCGATAATAATGGAATAGCCATGCTTTTGTGAAATTCCTGATGATGTTCAAACATACTAAACACTGTATTTTAAAATAGGGACAGGTGAAGATACATTTTATTCACTATGAACCCCTGGTTTAGCCACTGCCTTTTTTCAAGCTCCATTGCTGGTTGAGGATTTGAATAGGTAATTGGGAAAAGAAAAGAAACCAAAAGAATAACTTAACATAAAACTTTGGCTATTTTCTTTAAAGTCTTTTCTCTGTATTCAACAAAAATATTAAAACATCTTGCTCTAGTTTGAGATACATTACTTTATAAAATAATCATATTTCAACAGGCCATTATCAATATCACACAGTGATTAAAAACTTGGGCTTTAGAATAAACACACCTGAATTTGAATACTAGAGCTTCTGCTTTCTAGCTACATTGCCTGGGAGAAATTACTTAATTTTTTTGAATGTCAGTGTTCTTTTCTGTAAATTGGGGTTAGTTGTAGTAAATACCTCTTAGGGGTGATTGTGTGTGTGTGTGTGTGTGTGTGTGTGCGCGTGCACGTGCGCGCTAGCACAGGTATGTACATGTGCATGTGATTGTGTGTCAGGATTAAGTTAATACGCTGAAGCATTTGGTACAGTTTTTGACCGAGAATGAGAGCCCATGAGATGTAAGCCATTGTTCCTATTAATATGGCCCATTCTAGACATGATTTGTATGAAAGTTTTATCTTCAGATGCATCTGGGTTTAAAGAACTAGAGGCTAGAGCTAGATTGCACTTACTAGTTTTAGATCTTGGGCAAATTACTTAAGCTTTCTGTGCCTGGTTCCCTCCTCTTGAAATAGAATAAAGAATGCAGGATCCCAGTTTCAAAAAGACAGATGTACCCCTATGTTTATCACTGCACTATTTACAATAGCCAAGATATGGAAGCAACCTAAGTGCCCATCAGTAGATGAATGGGTAAATATGATGTGGTACATATACACAATGGAATATTATTCAGCCATAAGAAGAAAACAAATCCTACCATTTGCAAGAACATGGATGGAGCTAGAGGGTATTATGCTCAGTGAAATAAGCCAGGCAGAGAAAGACAAGTACCAAATGATTTCACTCATCTGTGGAGCATAAGAACAAAGCAAAAACTGAAGGAACAAAACAGCAGCAGACTCACAGAACCCAAGAATGGACTAACAGTTGCCAAAGGGAAAGGGACTGGGGAGGGAGGGTTAAGGGGAATAAGGGGCATTATGATTAGCACACATAATTTAGAGGGGGGCATGGGGAAGGCAGTATAGCACAGAGAAGACAAGTAGTGACTCTATTACATCTTACTATGCTGACGGACAGTGACTGTAATGGGGTATGTGGTGGGGACTTGATAATGGGGGGAATCTAGTAATCACAATGTTGCTCATGTGATTGTATATTAATGATATCAAAATTAAAAAAATAAAAAAAATAGAGTAATAATAGTACCTACTCATAGGGTTGTTGTAGGGATTAAATGAGTTAATATTCTTAAAGTAATTAGAACCTTACCTGCCACTTTCTAATTCCTTCTGGTAACATTGTTACAGCTGAACTTTACAAGACTTTTAAACCATAGCTATCAGAGGGTAGAAAGCTTCCTTCATAATCAAAGATCAGGCTTACTGGTTATGGGATACATTCAAATCATTGCTAATCAGAGGGCTGGGATCCACAGGGGGCAGTTCAGACTTTAAAAAGGGAGAAGCATAGAAAGAAGGGAAGACTATTGGTAAAGGTCTCTGCATCTCAGGTGTGTACAAGATGACCGTAAATAGTTATAGCTCTGTTTTAAGTAAGTAAGAGCAATAATTAGTGTTCTCTCTACTGTCTCTGGTGGTAAAACTTTTGAAAACAGATATAATTTGGAAAAATTTCCACACTAAATATGGCTAATGTACATTACTTACATTTTGGTATAAATAAATTCCTGAAGAACAACTTTTTCCACTAAAGGTGATTGGTCTATATACATTGCGTGATTACTGGGAATTATATGTCATATTTTATGAACAGGGATTAAATGTTTTAATTTTTAGGGTTTTTGATGGGGGGTAGAATATGTTTTTTCAAAGTGCCTTTGTAACTTGCATTAAAGCCCCTCAGATATTGTCAGATGTAGGCAGCAATTGTCTTATATATCTTTTGCAGATGCTAACAGTGCATTAAATCAGGCCTGGAAGCCAGAATTATTGTCCTTTTTTTTTTCTGTGAAAGTACACTACTAATGTTGTAGTATGTTTTTGCTTTTTACTTTGAACTGATGATAGCTTTTCAATGGGATAAAAGAAAGATTTCTAAGTTGTGCTTGTCTTTAAAAAAAGATTTATTATTAGGGGAAAGGAGTATCATTGATTTGTGTCATCACTATATCAAAATTAAACATGTGCATATCAAATATATTTAGTAATGACTGAGAAACAAATGAACAAGTGCTGAAAGAATTTATCATCTTAGTAGTGATACATTACTCCTGTTAAAGAATCAACAGTTTTAACAGAATGTTGATTTTAATGTCTTACTCAGTTTTGACAAGTTATTCACTTCGATAAAATGACATTTCAAAATACACATTACAAATGTTTAAAAAGTCAGGACTATGTCTTAAGACAAGACTTTTAATATAAATAACAAAATGTAACTTTCTAGGTTTGACTAAGGGAGGAGGTCGGTGCCAAATCCTGGTTTGTGGTTTGACCTTGTGCAGGACACCTGTGAAATTAGACTCACAGAGCAAACCATGGGCTCTTTCCCGATGTGTAGAGTATATTTCATCTACACAGAAGTTAGGTAGTTTCACTCCTAACTTCCCAGTTCATACCTCTTGTTCTTTACTTAAAAGGTTTCATCTGAAGAGGACTGGTCTTACGAAAGCAAATTTTCACGTCATCGGCAACATCATGAAGATGGTAACAAGGCAATGCTTTTCCAGGCTGCAATTCATTTCACGCTCCCCCAAAGCAGAGATCCATTACAAAGATTCAAAGATACCATTTACCTAACTCAGGTAAGGCATTTCCATTCTAGAGTTCAACAGGATAACATAAGAGATCATGTAGATATTTGTAAGTCTGATGTGGAGAAAAATATTCAGGTTTTCAATTTACTGATCAAAATAGATATATAATGCCACAAAAAGACTTGACATAGTTAATTTTTTGGCATTTGTCACTTTTACAAGAACAGCTCACAAAATTCTACAAAAAATTGTGCAGTAAAGTGTTCTTTAGTTAGAGATTAGTAATAAGGTTCAGTAATCAAGACACTGGCATTTCTCAAGTATAAAATGGAATAATGGAACACAATAGAATCCAGAAACAGACTCATGTGTAATGTAGTTGCCCGATATGGCAACAGTGCCACGGCAATCCTGTGGGGAAGGATAATCTTATCAATAAAAACAGTGCCATGTCAAGTGGGTATCTTAATGGGAAAATAAATGAACAGTGAAATTCCATATACAAAAATTATCTGTGATTAAATACTCAACTGTGAAAGGTTCGAGGAGAACACAATATCTGTGTGATCTTGGCATAAGCAAAGAATTTTTAAACAGGATATAAAAACACTATGAAGGAAAATAATGATAAATTAGACTTCATTAAAATTATGGACTTTTGTATATCAAAGACACCATTAAGAGAACAAAAAGGCAAACCACAGATTGGGGAACAGCATTTATGATACATATATCTGATAAAAGGTTTGTATTCAGAATAGAGACCTTTTATAAAGCAATAAAAAAAAGACAGATAACCTGTTAAAAAATGGACAGAAATCTTGAACAGGCACTTTACCAAAGAAGATCTCCAAATGGTCAGTAAAAGTATGCAAATGTGCTCAGTTTCATTCTTAATCAGGGAAATGCAAACTAAAGCCATATCAGGATGCCACCACACACAATGTACACAAGGTAATTTTAGCACAATGGCTAAAATTAAAGAGATTGACAATATCAGGTGTTGGTGAGGAGGTGGAACAGCTGGAACTTCTGGACATTGTTTGTAGGAGTGGAAATTTATTTAACCACTTTGGAAAACTTTATGGTCATTTTTACCCAAGCTAAACATTGCTTCATCTTTGAATCAGCATTTCTACTCCTAGCTGTGTACCCATGAAAAAAATGATTGCATATGTCTGCTGACATCTAAACTAATGTTTATAGCAGCTTTGTTAATAATAGCCCCAAACTGGAAATAACATATATGTTCTTCAACAGAAGAATTTATAAACAAATTGTGGTATATTTATACAATGGAATACTCTATAGCAATAAAAAAGAATGAGTCACTAATGACAGCATCAACTTGGATGAATCTAACAGACATTCTTTTGAGCAAAAGAAACTTTGAAGTGTCAATATAGACAAAATTAATCAGGATGATAGAGAACAAATTAGTGGTAACCACTCTTGTGGAGGGGGATGGTGAATTATGATTAGAAAAGGGTATAAGGGAACTTTATAGAGGGCTAAAAAAGCTTTATACCTTGGTCTGGTTGCTAGTTACATGGGTATACACATATGTTAAAATTCACTGAGTTTTACATTTAAGATCTGTGCATCTTACATTAATGCACCTCATTGGATTATTTTAAAAACAGCTCTATTGAGATATAACTGGCATACCATCAGATTCACTCATTTTAAGTGTAAACTAAGTAATTCTTAATATACTTACCGAGTCATGTAACCATCCCACCGCAGTCCACCTTTAGAACATTTCTGACAACCCAAAAAGATACCTTGTGCCCATTTGCAGCCACTCTCCTTTTTCACCTTTGGCCCAAGGAAAACATTAATCTGCTTTTTATCTCTCTAGATTTTACTTTTCTCAATATTTTATATAACTGGAGTCATATAATATGTAATCTTTTGCATCTGGCTTCTTTTGCTGAACACAAAGTTTTTGATGTTTTTCCATGTTACAGCGTATATCTGTACTTCATATTTTTTGCTAAATACTATTCTATTGTATGGATATACAATGTTTTATTTATCCATTCATCAGTTGGTGGCTGTTTGGATTACTTCCAATTTTTGTCTGTTATGAAGAATACTGCTATGAATATTTGCATACAAATCTTTGTGCATATATTTTCATTTCTCTTGGATAGAAATATATGAGTGAAGTTGCTGAGTTATATGGTACATTTATGCTTAACTTTTTAAGAAACAAATTTTAGATAACATATTCATCTTAATGTTAGCATTTGCTTTTTTTATTTGACTATTCATTTCATGAGCCTGGGAACTACACATACATGTAAGACTATATTAAAACCATTGCTTATTCACCTGATGTTCTTTGCCATACTTATGTTAAATTCTGAGATCAGGTAAGAGCCTAATCCCAAGCATATGAATTGATTTGAAGTAGATCAGAAGTTTTTGTTAAACATGATCACATTTTAATTTTTGCTTCTTAGCTCCTAAGGATGTTCTAATTTTTTTATCCAAACTTCATGCTCACTCTCTCAGTTTTCTTCATATGAAAATACAAAATCTTGGATGGAAGCAAAAGCAGAAAACTATAGCCAAAAGAATATTCTGATTTAGAAGGCAATACAGTGCTTAGGAAAATTGTAGTGTTTCAATTATGATCTTATCACTTAGGGAAGTTTTGCCAGTGTGATATGTAATTTGTGAACTTGCCTTGTGGAACACAAGTTTAAAGATAATGTGGATATATCTGTATTAAAGTGTAGCAGTCCATCCTTACTATCTTTTCCTAGCTGATGTTCTATAAAAGTGTCATCGTTTTGATCTATGAAATCGGATGACCCTTCTGTGTGTGTGTGTGAGTGAACCTTTTCAGCTGTTGTTTTTCATGCTGGCTTTTCTCCTCCCAGCTGTTCGTTTTATTCCTGTTTCCTCAAAACCACATTCAAAGACCTGACAAAAATAATTGTTCCTTCTGAACCCATTAGCATTAGAAGTACATAATTGTACAGATCTGGGTGTGCCAGTGGAATTATTTGTTGCTGGTTTTTGTTGGCCTTGGCTTTTGTCTGGTGATTTAGCAGTGTCCTAGTGTCCTGTCAGGCACTGGCTGGGAATCTGAACTTGCTAGTTTTACCCTGGAACTTAATGAGGTACTAACTGGGATCTGAGATTAAAGAAATCAGAATTATGATATTTTTGTTTTTAGTATTCGATTTTCTTGACTGAAATGTAGCAGGAAGTGTTAGGGTAAAAAGTTCTCCCTTCCCCCCCTCCCCCTTGTTACTGTAACTTTAGAACGACCTTCATCAATGTGTGTATTGGAAGGAAAACCTTTCTTTGGCCCATTCCCTCTGTTCCCGTCCCCCCACCCCTGCTCTCCTTTCCATGGCTGCCACTCTGTTCTGAGACACAGGTACTTGCGTGTGTGGCACTTTTTAAGACAACCCACTATGCAACTGTTTTTTTTTTTTTGTAACTTTCAGAAAAATCTCAGTGGCAAAAGCTGTGCAGTAAGTTTCTTCACATTTAGATCCGTCCTGATTTTATCTCTATCTTATAACTGCAAAGATACCCAACCAGGATCTTCTTTCTTTAATTCTTCTAATGTTCCCAAATATTCTTGCCTTTCCTTTCATTCTCCTATCTTATCCTGTTATATGGTTTTCCAAATAGTTGACATACCTAAGCACACCCTCTTCATCTGTGTCACACAGAGCTCGCTGCTTTGTTTGAGGGGTATTTTTATTAACATGTATAAACTGTTAAGTGACTTCCTCCACCAGCATGGCCTCTTATTGTCCACTTAGAGAGAAGCTGGAGCTCCTCTCTGTCTTTGCTGATCCCTTAGTTTATAGCCCTTTCTAGGGCTTTCATTTATTCTTCACATATTTATTGAGTGTATATTGAGGGCAAGATGCTGGGAGATGTCCTTGAGAGAATCGTATTCTTTTGGCATCCATTTCTTCTCCCCACATTGCAAGTAATTTGATCATAACAACTAAGAAAAAAAAAGGCAGGCTATGCTGTAGGCCCAGGTGTTGATGACACCTTTTACCTTGGACTAGTTACTTGTTTGTAAGCAGCGCTGAGATGTGATAGAAGACCAGGCTATGCAGAGCTTTTAAGATGGGAATAGGGTGGGTAAAGGAGGGGAGTGAAGGTAAGATTATTAGCATAGTATATTGTATACTAGTATACTATATTTATATGCACCATGTAATTTAGCAGCCAGGCAGACAATCAGCATTCTTTGGGTGTCTGCTAAATGCCTGCCCCTGGACCATAAGGTGCTTCGTATACCTTCTCATCTAAGTCTAACAACACCTCCTGACCTCTGTGTTACTATTTCCATTCTTTACATGAGGAAACAGACGCTCAGGAAGCTTAAATATTTCACCTAAATTCTCAGGGCAATAAATGGAGAAAGTTTCAAATTTTTAAGCTATAACATTATATCCTTTCACAATTGAGATGAAGGAAATTGTACAACTACTGTGGTATTTGGTTAAATTATAACATTAATTGTCAGCAGACATCAGAACATCAGGAAGCAGTCATCAAAAATTTGGCACATTAAAAAGGCCTAATTGAAACAATAGAGAAAAATCAATAAAACCAAAAGTTAGTTCTTTGTAAAGATCAACAAAATTGAAAAACCTTTAGCTAGACTGGCCAGCAAGAAAAGAGAGAAGACTCAAATTAACTAAAATCAGGAATGAAAGGAAACACTACTATTGACCTTACGGAAATAAAAAGGGTGATAAGGGAATACAGTGAACGACTGTATGACTATGGCCTAGATGAATGGACAAATGCCTAGAGGGAACAAACCATGAAAACTGATTTAAGAAATAATGGAAAATCTCAGTAGACCTATAACAACTAAAGAGATTGAGGTAGTAATAAAAAATTTTTCCTCTAAAAAGATGGCTTCGCTAGTGAATTCTAAAAACTCCTATAAGGAAAAATTAACACCAATCCTTTACAAACTCTTAGAAAAAATAGAAGAGGAGAAAACACTTCTTAACATTCTGTAAAATCTTCATTATCCTGATACAAAAATC